GGGGTGTAGGTGCCTGTTGGGTGTGGGCTGTGCATGCCTGTTGGTTGTAGGCAGTAGGTGTGTGTTGGGTGTGGGTTGTATGTACCTGCAGAGTGTGGGTTGTAGGGTGTGTTGGGTGTGGGTTGTGGGGTGTGTTGGGAGTGGGCTGTAGGGGTGTGTTGGGTGTGGGTTGTGGGGTGTGTTGGGAGTGGGCTGTAGGGGTGTGTTGGGTGTGGGTTGTGGGGTGTGTTGGGAGTGGGCTGTAGGGGTGTGCTGGGTGTGGGTTGTGGGGTGTGTTGGGGGGGGGCTGTAGGGGTGTGTTGGGTGTGGGTTGTGGGGTGTGTTGGGAGTGGGCTGTAGGGGTGTGCTGGGTGTGGGTTGTGGGGTGTGTTGGGGGGGGGCTGTAGGGGTGTGTTGGGTGTGGGTTGTGGGGTGTGTTGGGAGTGGGCTGTAGGGGTGTGCTGGGTGTGGGTTGTGGGGTGTGTTGGGGGGGGGCTGTAGGGGTGTGTTGGGTGTGGGTTGTGGGGTGTGTTGGGAGTGGGCTGTAGGGGTGTGCTGGGTGTGGGTTGTGGGGTGTGTTGGGGGGGGGCTGTAGGGGTGTGTTGGGTGTGGGTTGTGGGGTGTGTTGGGAGTGGGCTGTAGGGGTGTGCTGGGTGTGGGTTGTGGGGTGTGTTGGGGGGGGGCTGTAGGGGTGTGTTGGGTGTGGGTTGTGGGGTGTGTTGGGAGTGGGCTGTAGGGGTGTGCTGGGTGTGGGTTGTGGGGTGTGTTGGGGGGGGGCTGTAGGGGTGTGTTGGGTGTGGGTTGTGGGGTGTGTTGGGAGTGGGCTGTAGGGGTGTGCTGGGTGTGGGTTGTGGGGTGTGTTGGGGGGGGGCTGTAGGGGTGTGTTGGGTGTGGGTTGTGGGGTGTGTTGGGAGTGGGCTGTAGGGGTGTGCTGGGTGTGGGATGTACGTACCTGCTCAGCGTGGGCTGTACCTGAGTGCTGATTGGCTGAGTTTACCTGTGCGTTGGGTGGGGCCGTGCGCTCCCTGCTCCCTGGCAAGGGTGGGGGGGCACCGCGGCCCCATGTCTCCCCGGTGGCCCTTGTCATCTCCCCATGTGCCCTTGACACCTATTGGCCACCAGCTCGAGCACCCTGGGAAGCTGATGGGGCTCAGGACCCATCCTGCAGCAGGGGGGCAGGGGGGAGGCTGGGTCTCCCCCACCCGCTCTGCCAGCATCCTCTGCCCCTCTCCCTGCCCTGGGGTTTCACCGCCAGGACACTCTGCCCTCGCTGGGCTCCTTCGCGGGGTGGCGAGGTTGCAAGGATCAGCTCTGCGCTCGCCATGCGCTGCCTTTGGCAGGGGCAGAGCCAACCCAACTGCCCCCACAATGTTGGGGGCCGGTGACAGGCCTTGCCCGAAGCCCCCGCGTGGGGAACAGCATCAGCCCAAAGCTGGGGTGCCCCACGGCGCTGGTTCTTGGGGGTGAAGTGTGCAGGATGGACGGATGAGCAGACGGACAGGCAGACAACACCCAAAGACAGGGACTGACAGAGGGGCCTGGGGGGGGATGCCACCC